TTGCTCCCTTTTGGAATGGCAATGTCTGTCCTATGTCTGCTCCACCACTATATTTTGGAAGTCGGTAACTTGATTTAATAGGTTCACAGCTGAAAAGATCTGCCTCGAGGCAAATACACCATATGTCTCACTCAAATCTGATTTACATGAGACTTGGAACTTTGGGTTTTTGAGTGCATGATAGAATGAATGAAGACTCTGGAGCTACTGGGATGGAATGAATGTATTTTTAAACACCAGAAGGACATAAATTTTGGGGGCCCAGAGTGGAATGCTGTGGTTTAAATGTGTTCTCCAAAGGTTCACTGTATTGGAAACTTGGTCCTGAATGCAGAAGTATTGAGAAGTAGTACTTTTAAGAGGTAACTGGGTCATGAGGGCTCTGCTCTCATGAATGGATTAGTAGACTAATAAGTTACTGGATTGATGGGTCATCAAGCAGGTAGGTTAGCTATCACAAGAATGCATCTGTTATAAAATCCAGTTTGGTTCTCACTCATGTGCCCTCTCAGCATGTGATGCTCTGTGCCACCTTGGGACTCTGTAGAGAATTCCCACTAGCAAGAAGGCTCTCACCAGAGGCTCACACCATGCTCTTGGACTTCTTAGCTTCCAGAACCATAAAAAATAAATTTCTTTTCCTTATAAATTAACTAGTCTTTGGTATTCTGTTACAGTAACAGAAAATGGACTAAAACAGATGCCATTAGGATAAAAAAGAGGGAGAAATAATATTTAAAGAAATAATAAGGCTAGGCATGGTGGCTCATATCTGTAACTCGAGCACCTTGGAAGGCCGAGGTGGTAGGATTGCTTCAGCCCAAGGAATTCAACCCAGTCTCTATAAAAAAATATTAAAAATTAACCAGGCAAGGTGAAACACACCTGTAGTTTCAGCTACTCAGGAGGCTGAGGTGGGAGGACTGCTTAAGCCTGCAGTGAGGTGCAGCCTGCAGTGAGCTAAGGTCATGCCACTATACTCCAGCCTGGGTGACAGTGAGACCCTGTCTCAGAGAGAGGGAAAAAAAAAGAAAGAAAGAAAAAGAATAAAAAATACATAAATAATGGTTGAAATCTTTCCAAATTTGATAAAAGAAAAAGAAATATTAATCTACACATCCCCCAAGGAGCTCAACAAATTCTAAATAGGATAAATACAAAAAGATATACTTCCAGACACATTATAGGCAAAATCTTGAGAGCCAAAGACAAGGAGAAAATCTTGAAAGCAGCAAGAGCAAAATGACCAGACAAGCACAAAGGAGTCCCCAGTAAGATTAACAACTGACTTCTCATTAGAAACAAGCGAGGGCAGAAAGCAATGGAATTAAATATTCAAAGTGCTAAAGTAAAATATTGTGAATTATGACTCTAATATCCACCAACACTGTTATTTTTAAAATAAAGGTGAAATTAAGGCATCCCTAGGAAAATAAAAACAGAGAATTTGTTGCTAGAATATCTGTTTTACAAGAAATACTAAAGGAAATTCTTCAGGCTAAAAGCAAGTAACACCAAACAGTAATTGGAAGCCCCAAAAAACAAAGCGTGCCAGTAAAGGAAATTACGTACATAATTGCAAAAGACACTGTAATTGCACATTTCTTCCCCTTTCTTCTCTTAACTGATTTAAAGAATAATTCAATAAAACACTGTAGCTATAATTTTATTATTGGGCTAACAACATTCACTGTTACATATTTAGACAATAACAGTACAAATGAAGCAGATGAGAACAAAGTTCTATGGGAGTAAGAAAATGACCCCAGAGCTAACTCAAATATGCAGAAATATGTAAAGAAAATGAAAAATAGAGAGGTCAATGCAACTAACTATAAATATGTACTTGTTCTCCCTTGTCTCAGTTTCTTCAAAAGATATAAAGTAAAAATTACAACAGTGTATTGTTGCGTTTGACATAATAGGTACATCAATAATAGCACAAAAAAGTTGGGGAGGGAAATGGAGCTAATAGAGGAAGTCTATTTTGCTGAAAGTAAGTATAAATCAGAAGTGAAATTCTTATAAATCAAGATGTACACTGTAAACCCTGGAGCAACCACTAAGAAAATAATTCAAAATATATGTTTTAAAAAATAGCAAAGGAATTAAAACATCACACTACAATATATCTACTTAACTCAAAAGAAGGCAAGAAAGGAAAGAACAAAAAAGACTTGAGACCTATGGAAAACAAAATTCGTAACTGCATACAAAAATCCAACTATATCAGTAATTACATTAAATGTGAACAGATTAAGCAATCTAATCAAAAGAAAGATTATCAGGCTGTATTTTTTTAAAAGAAAAAGAACAATGATCCCAACTACATATAAAATCTATATAAAACACATTTTAGATTCAATCACACAAATAGGTTGAAAGTAAAAGCTATACCATAAAAACAGTAAACATAAAAGAATCAGGCAAAATAGATTTTAAAACAAGAATATATTACTAGAAATAAAGAGAAACACTTCATAATGACAGAAGGGTCAATCCATGAGGAAAATATAACAATTAGAAGCATATATGCACCTAACAACAGAAGGAAGAAAAGACAGAGTTGAAGGGATACACAACTCAAAAATAATAATTGGAGACTAACCCTCTTTCAATACTAGATAAAACCACCAGGAAGAAAATCAACAAGAACACAGAAGATTTGAACAACACAGTAAGACAACTAGCCCTAAAGACAACTATGTAACACTCCACCCAACAAGGCAATATGCATTCTTAAGTGCATATGAAACATTTTCCAAAAGAGATCACATGCTAGGCCGTAAACAACCTTCAATAATTTACAGAGATTAATCATACAAAGAATGTTCTCTGAAACAATGGAATGCAATTATAATACAATCAGTAACAGAAGGAATTTTAGGAAATTCACAAAGATGGGCGGGGGAACCACACTCCTAAATAACCAATAGGTCAAAGAAATCAGAGAGAAAATTAGAAAATATGTTGAGATGAGTGAAAACTAAAACACAACATACCAAAATTTATTGGATACAGCTAAAAAAAATAGTACTCGGAAAGAAATTTGTAGCTATAAATGCCTATATTAAAAAAGAAAGATCTCAAGTGGATAATCTAATCTTCCACCTTAAGAAGACAGAACCTACAAAAAGAAAAGCAAACTAAACCTAAGCAAGCAGATGGAAGGAAATAATAAAGAATAATGTGCAAACAAATGAAACAGAGAATAGAAAATCCAGAAAACAAAAGACACTGGCAAAGGATTTGGGAATCAGGTGGTCATTGTTGTTGACAGAAGAGGAAGGTTTCTTATTAGAAGGAACAAAATCCAGATTGCAAGGAATTTAAGGAATAAATGGGAGAGGAAAAAATGAAGGCAGCATATATAGACTCTTCTTTCAATAAGCTTGAAGAAAAAGAATGAGAAGACTGAAAATGAAGGCAAGAAGAAATGATTAACAAAGTCTTCTAGGAGGCAGAAAGGAATTAAGAGTCTAGGCAAATAAATTGGCCTTGGAAGGTATGGTAGACCTAGAGGTTGCCTACTTAGTCTTCCCTTCTTTGTGGATAACAAAATCTTATTTATTTTTTTATTTTTTATTTTTTTTTACCTTGGGAAGAGTGGAGGGCCATGAATCTAGACTAGTCTAAGCCAAACATAGGACTTCTGTACCCCTCCCCACTGACTGGCTTAGAAACAGTATAGGATGCAGTTTTGGCTAGTGAGGTCATGTTTTCTAGGAGGCTTCTAAGAAAGTTTTCTTCATTTCTGAAAAAGACATGAGAGAGACACCTTTTCTTAGAGTCATGGATGCTTTGATATGAGTATGTCATTCTTGGAGTTAAAGCTGCCATCTTGAGATGAGAAGGGGAAAAGTCTGAAGACAAAAGTCAACTTATGCAGGATGGTAGAATGAAAAGACAGAGCCAGAGAGTCTGATGATAACAGTTAGCTGCTATATGAGCCAACTAAAAAACCATCTTTCTTCCAGATTTCTAGTTATATGAGATAATAAAATGCAGTTATTATATATGATACTTTCAGTTGGGTCTCTGTCACTTACCAGCTGAAAGTATTCTAATTGATATAGAAGGAAAGATACTTTCACAAGATAGATGTGGATGAAATTAACTTTGCATATTGGAGATAAGGGAATTGGAGAGTTTCAGCCTAAAGTTTCATTTATTAAAGAAAGTGAAACTCATATAGATCAATTTTACAAAGGGAGTGGCCTTAACATTTGCTGTTTCCTGCTTTAAAATATCAAGTATTACTAATGGTAACAATAGCTAGTAATGAAGATGATTATGACGATAAGCTCATGGTTATTAAAGTATTTTTAAAGCTGGGTATTTTATCCTTTATTGTTTACCTTCTACATACTATTTGACTTCAATAGTGAAAACATACCAATCTCTTCTACTTTCTGTTCATAACAATTTTCATGGTAGTTTAATTTTTCATACTTTCATGGTATATAACACAGTATACCACAATATAGTTTACAGAGGGAATCCTTAACTTTGAAGAACAAACACTGAAAACTAAACAATTTATAAAAAGATTTCTCTATTTCCATGCACTTTCTGAATCTGGTCAAGAAAATAAAACAACATTTCAACTGCATCTGTGCAATGATAGCTTGATTCATATCAGAAGATGGAAAATCAACACTATAGCCACATAGATACACACCAGAGAAAGCACACTTTTAGCAGAAATAACAAAAAGCAATAGAATTGTGCTCTTATCCAAGCGGTTCCCAAATGGAAAAAAAAAAAAAATCTGAAAGTTAAATTATAAGACAGCTTTTGAAGCACAAAACATTTTTCCTATAGAAACATTACTGAGTCATGTCATTAGTAGGCCCGTCCATAAAAGCCATATGCTTGTAAAACCATATGCATAAGACTGTTGTTTGAACTATACCAAAGCAGGGTAATAGTTTTTCCTTGGGAAAATACATCATTTTCTCCCTCTCCTCTCTACTAAGTCCCAGAGGAGTGGGCCTCACCAGGGGCTCTGTCCACCTCTGAAGCTCAGCAGTCATCCCCCTCACTCTGCACACTCCATGGTCAGCCACACTGAACTTCTCCAACCTGCAGGGCCTCTCCCCTCCAAGTCATTACTGTTACAACCTTCCCTTCTTCTTCCTGTAGGTCACCTCCACTCAGCCTTCTCGTCTCAGCTTAATGCTACTTCCTCAGGTAGGCCATCCCTTGTCTCCACACTGAGTCATGTGTTCCTGATGTGTGTGCTCTCGCATCACACTATACTTTCCTAACACAGCATTTGTCAATCTCCCCGATAAGCTCCACTGTTTCAGGGATTCATTTCATTTGCTATTAATGTTAAGGTCAGAAGACTGCCTGGCATTTTGAAGATTCTTTACACATATTTATTTATATGAATTATTTCTCATAAGATACTTTAATGCATTTTTAACTTATCTACAGTCATTACCAAGGAAAAGGGGGGTTTTCCAAAGAAGACTTCTCCTTCCCTCAATTTACACCTAGAGATTGTTCATAGGGAGGAAGCTACCTATCCAATTTCTTTCCCATTGCTGATTTATAGTCACTTAAATGGACATTAAAATTTTAGCAAATAGATACATTTTCTTTATTTTTCTTTTTAGAAGATGCGGCCTTTGAATGATGAAGCAATAGGTATATTTTCTAATATTAACTTTATCTCTTTTTTGTAGGTAATGTCACTCATTCTCATGACTTTTACTGTCAGCAACGAAATGTTTATTCCCAAATCTGTATCTCTATGCTTGATTTTTCTCTCAAGCTTAGAATCCAAACTTTCAGCTGTCTACAATTTTTATATCCAAATGTACCACAAAAACTTCACCCCATTCCCCCACCCAATCTTTCTTTTCTGTGGTATTCCCCATTTCAGATATTTCAGATAATGACATCACCATCTAGTCAGTGGAGTCTCATACCCACGTTATCTCGTCCTTGTTAATTATTTACTGGACCATGGCCTCACAGTGGTGGCAACACTTGGGAGCAGAATCTGAGGCCCCACCACAGACCTACTGAATCAAAATCTACCTTTTAACAAAATCCCTAGACAATTCATATGCACATTAAAATATGAGAAACACCAATGTATAATTCCTTTTTCTCTCTACCCCCACAAAACTCTGATACGAAGTCTAAATAGGCAAATATATTCCCTCCCATCCATTTCTGTTATCATGGCCCTGATTAAGCCATCACTTCCTGTGGTGATGTGGACACTGAAATGGCTTCTTAGCTGACCTCATTCCTGCAGCCCACTGTTAACCCAGACTTTTGGAAGGGACACTCTGATGTACAGCTATGACAGGACATATGGTTGGCTGGCCAGTACTGTGCATAAAGTATGTCCTATCTATGTTGCAATTTAAAATCTGGGGATGCTCACAAAATTGTCATATAGAAAAGCATGCAAAAAAAAGAAAAAAAAGATTAACTTTTCTTGTGTCTCCTTGTTATAATCACTGATCTCCATTTTCTTTCCAAATACAAACTTAACCATGTCATATCCCTCTCCAAAATCTTTTAGTGGCTTCTGAACACATCATGTATTTCTACACTTCTACCTTTCTGTTCATGCTTTTTCCCTTTTCTCCTATCCACCTTGCAAAAATTTTGCCCATCTTCTGAAGTCCTGCTCAAGAGTTATCTCACTGGAGAACAGTCATCTCATCTCACCAGCCCTCTAAGAAATAACTGCTTCTCCATTACCTCTACAACCCACTGCACTCTGTTCAACACATGATTATGGCACTCATCTCGCTGTATGAAAGGCCCATGGATGTCTGTCTTTCCTGTCAGACAAGGACTTCCTCAAAGGAATTCTGTATTTCAGTCACTGGCAGATGGTAGATACTCAAAAAATGTTTTAAAAAATCAATTACCATTTATATTTGACATTATTAAAAGCTGTAGAACTTATCATTGATAACATGAATATATTTATAAACTCTACAATACTAGGTACCATACAGTTATATGCACCCAGGCACAGCAAAAGTTCAAACATGCTTGGGGACCTAATTCAGCCACATAAATGCAGCTATCCTTAAAAGCCCACATTCTGGGGAGGCCCACCCTATTTCCTGAGAGTTCAATCAGATAACTGAACAGGGCACACAGAGGTTAATTTCTGATGAGAAGAGAGGGAGGTCAAGTCTGCCAACTGATTTTAAAAATTATATATTGTACCATAAAGATTGTAATAAAGAAATAAAAGTTTGTTATCTATAACTTTAAAATATTTAAAAATTCATTTTCTGCACATTACCTTTCAAAAGGAGTTGAAATTACACTAAACATATCATTCTGTATTTGGTTACAAAATTTTGCCGTAAGTTACACTTATAATTACACTTTAGTGATCATGTTATTCCATCACCCTAACAAATGTTCATTAAAACATTTACCAAAGTCCAATAATTTAGTTCAATAGTTACTGAATAATTACTTGTATGCCAGACCCTAATGCAGGGCCTGACCAGCCCTAACCTCAAGAACTCCCCAGCCAAGTGGTAGTGACTGATTCATACACCCATGACTCTGGTGCAGTACCGAATGCAAACCAGAGTGCTCACTGGCAGGGCTGACTCAGAGGGGATGCCCCCAGGATCTGACTGCTGCTCTCAAGAGATAGAAAGTCAACACGAAGAACAGGGGAAGGACCCATAAAGATGAGACATAAGAATTTCAAATGGCACTGCATGTTCAGGGAAAGGCAGTGGCTGGGAGTAGCACAAGAAACACATTAGAGTGAATGGGTCCATTTCCTTAAAGCCTCTCCAGAATTGGAAGTTATTTTAATTTTCAGTGCTTTCGAGAGAATAGAAGAGGTAACTCAAGGTTAACTTAAAAGGCATTTCTCTGATTACCAGTGACGGTAAACATAATTCCACCTTTTTATTAATCATTAACTGCTAAAATACTTTGTTTACTTATGTATTAAAACTTCATTAGGTTTGAGAGAACTTCCTCTTCATATATTATAGATGTTCACCCTTAGTCACATTTGATACAAGCATTTCCTCCAGTTGTGTTGTGTTATTTTTTTCGTTGTAAATAAACCTTACATTTTGTATGTTCAAAACTATTAGATCTTTTCCTTGGTGAATATTCCCTGTAACACTAAGTCATCAATCCTTCACAAATCTGATGAATATCGTTCTATTCTCTACTACTTTTCAAAAATACGATTAAAAAATATTTAGCTCTTTATACTAGCTAGACCTGATTATAAAAACAAAAACAAACAAACAAAAAAACATGATGTACATAAACATTTACAAACAGGCCAATATCCTCCCTCTTCCAATCTTACTCCCACTCCCTTTGCTAAGATGGCTAGGGAATTCCTTTTCATACAAACTCTCGATTCATTTTCATTCAGGCTCCCTTACATAGCAATGCTGGGAAGAGAGCAGCTAGAGCATGTGTCCTTTGCAGTATCTTTAGAGATGGCCCTGAAATGTCTACAACTTCTATGAAAGAATTACAAATTAGTATTTTAAGGTACATAACATGGACAGAAAACATTTATGGGATGTATCAGCAATAAACATCAATGCTAATTTAAAGTACTAGCGGATACCTTCTAAGTCCCCAAACAAGTAATGCAGTTTTTTTTTAAGGGCCTGGAATGTATAGCCTTTTTACTAACTTCATATTACAGAAGGCAGTTTTCAAATTAGCAAAGGGGGCTCAGTCCAGTGGTATACAGTTGAACATGTCTGACTCCCATGGGGAGTCTGGAAATGTGGGGAGGCGTTTTTTAGATGTCACAATGAGAGAGCACACTATTGTGAATCTTGCAACATGTAGGGCAATCTTGTACAACAAAAACCTGTCCTATCCCAAATGCCAATAGCCACCTCACTTCAGCTAAGGGCCTTCCAGCCCAAGATTATGTGCTTCCTATATTTAATGAAGGAAACTCCTGACTTCCAATTGTTCTATCTACCCTGCCACCCAGTACATGTTTTACCAAGGGAGGACCAGCCCTAAGTAAGATTGTGAGGTAGAATAGGCAGTACTGGATGTCTTGCTTACTCCTCCTATTGGGTCCTTTGTTTTAAAACCCTGTTGTGGCCTGAATCCCTTCAAGTAACATCCCAGGAAGTTCTGGCTTGGAGGAACCCAGGAACTTGGCTACTGTCCTCTCCTTCTGATCCACCAAAACCTGTTCCCTGCAAGTTCTTAGAAAACATCTGAAAAACAAAGCATACTCTGATACTAACTTCATGAAGGTACAAGTGCATTCTTCTTCTCAGGGATATTTGTGTTTAAGCACTAAACCAGAGATGCCACTCCTTACCTTATGCCCTACTGCCATCCTTGTATAAGCTACTACCATTTTTCACTGTGATTACCACAGTAGCCTCTTAACTGGTCTTCCTGCTTTAAGTCTTCCAAGTCATAGTCTATGCTCAAGAAAGAGCTGACCTAAGTGAGATCATGTCCTTTCTTGGCTCAAAACTCTCTGGTGGCTCCCTAGTTCAATAAATAAAAGCCTCCAATGTCTTTTATTGGTACCTCCAATGCAAGGTCATAAATCATCTAAAATCTGAAAATCTGAGGGGAGAGCACCTACGGGAGAAAAAACAAGAGTCCATTTTGGTCACATTAAATTTGCAATGCCTAGGAGACATTCAGGTAGAGATGTCAGAAAGGTGTTATCCCCAGATCCTCAGAAGAGAGCTTCAGGCTAGATAAGTAGTTCTCAACAGGTGGTGATTTTTTGTACCCCGGAGACATTTGGCAGTATCTGGAGACATTTTGATTGTCACAATAAGGGTAGAGGGAACTCTATTGGCAGTTACAGCGTAGAAGCCAGAGATGCTGCTAAGCATCCTACAATCCACGAGACATCCCCTGACACTGAAAAAACTTTCCAGCCCAAAATGTCAGTAGTGCTAAAGATGACAAACTCTGGGCTAGAGATAACGTGAAAGACTTACACAAAAAGATATTTAACCAAAAGTACAAGATGAAAAACAAGGAAACTAAACCTCTCCTCTTTTAGATGTCAGGTAACACTGAAGACAGAAAATGGTCAACTAGAATGGGAGAAGGAAAACCAGGGAAGGGTTTGTGTCATAGGCCAAGAGACAAGTGTTTCCAAAAGGCAGCAATGGTCAATTGTGGTCAACTGTGTGGAAAACTGCTAAGACGTCAAATAACCTGATGGGGGTTAAAAGGTTTGAGAAGAATGAAGGCAGTATGCTGTGGGGAGTGAGGGAGTGAGATAATAGACATGTTGGAAGACTGCTGGACAATTTTAAGGCTGCTGAGTATAACATTAAAGTGAAAAAACTGGCAGGTAGTTGAGCTCATCCAGTTCCGAAATTGGAGAGACCAAAGAGGTACAAAAGAATTGAAAGAATTTGCCGGAAAATAATTTGAATCAAAGCATCTAGGCTGGATAAGGAAGAACTGGTAACAGAAAGGAAGTGATAAGTAGAAATCTGGGAAGGGCGCTGGAAGTCATGATGAGTCATAAATACTTTTCCCACATCAATAAATATATTTCCTATACGCTTTTAACTGTTTCATAATAACATAGCCTATTGCTTGATATTATTAAGCAAATGTGATTATTACTTTAATAAGTTACAAGAGATAAGTGTTGGTGATGGTGTGAAAAAGAGAAAACTCATACACTGTTGGTGGGAATGCAGATCAGTGCGGCCATTGTGAAAAACTGTACAGGGGTTCCTAAGGAAATTAAACATACAACTACCATATGACTCAGCAATTCCTCTAGTGGGTAGATATCCAAAGGAAATGAAATCACCATCTCGTAAAGATACCTGCACTCCCATGTTCACTGTAGCATTAGCCAAGATTTAGAAACAATAGCCAAGATATTGAAACAACCAAAGTATCTGTCAAGAGATGAATGAACTATGAGGTATGTGTGTGTACATATGTGCATGTGTACATATATATATGTACATGCACATACATAAATGGAATATTATTCTGCCTTAAAAAGGAGATCCTGCCATTTGCTACCACATGGATGAACATGGAAGACATTATGCAAAGTGAAATAGGCAAGACACAGAAAATGCATGACCTCACTTATATGAGGAATCTTAGAAAAAGAAAAGAAAAAGAAAGTTGAATACTCAGAGAATAAAATGGTGGTAAGCAGGGGCAGGTGGGGGAGAAAATGGGAAGATGTAGCTCAAAGGATACAAAGCTGCAGATACGCAGGATAAAGGAGTCTCCCTGTCTAACATACAACATGAGGACTACAGTTAATACTGTATTGTATTTGAGATTTTTGCTAAAAGAGATTTTAAGTGCCACTAAAAAGGGTAACTATGTGAGATGACTGATGTTAAATTTGGTTGAGTGTAGTATCCAGTTCACTGTGTGTGTACATCAAAACATCGTATACCTTAAATATATACAATAAAAAGGAGGTATTTACTATTTGAACAATGATCATCATCCTATTTACTTTTCCAGAGTAGGATCAAATGGCATTTGTGGGAAAGATCATGTTATTGTGAAAGATATGCATATGATAAATAACAGACCTAGGTTAAAATATCAGCTCTTTCACTTACTATGTTGTGACCTTGGACAACTTACTTAACCTCTCTGAGCCTAAATCTCTTCAGCTTATTAACAGATGTGGTACACAGAATATTGGCTCCCTCAAAGGATGTCCATACCTTATTCCCTGGAATCTCTGCCTACCCTATATTACATGGTATGATATTGTGAAATATATATCTGGTCTACATCCTCATTTCCTGGCATACAACTGCTAAAATCCTTAGAATCTCCAAAGTGATGCTTTTTGTATGCTAATGAGTTGACTGATGGTTGGTAGTCTCCAGGTAGCTTCAGGATGGAGGATGGTCACTAGAAAGACCAAAGCACAATTAGAGGGTTGGGACGTTCAGCGACACCCTCCAAGCTCTAGGAAGGGGAAAGGGTCTGAAAGTTAAGTTGATCACCAACAGCCAATGATTCAATCAATCATGCCTACCCAATGAAGCTTAAATAGAAACCCAAAAGGACACAGTGTAGAGAGCTTTCAAATAGCTGAACACATGGAGGTTCGCAAATGGTAGTGTACCCGGGGAGGGCAAGGGAGCTCCTTGCCCCTTCCACATGCCTGGCCCTGTGCACCTCTCCATCTGTATCCTTTATAATAAACCAGTAGATGTGTTTGCCTGAGTTCTGTGAGCCCTCTAGTAAATTAAATGAACCCGAAGAGGTGGCTGTGGGAACCCCAATTTATAGCAGGTCGGTCAGAAGCACAGGTAGAGCCTCCTGAGACTTGCTGTGAGACTGAGGCCTAAAGATGGGGGATCTGACACTCTCTACAGGTGATGTCAGCATTGAATTGAAGGTAACCCAGGTGGTGTCTGTTGCAAAATGGCTTGGTGTGGTGGGGAGCAAACTCCCATACGTGTCATCACAGAAGTCTTCTGTGTTGATTGCTGTTGGCTGAGAGAATACAAAAAAAAAAAAAAAAAACATTTTGAATGTGTTTTTTCCACTCATTTGGTGAGGGGGAATTAAGGTTGCACACAGAATTAAGGCTGGTAATCAGTGGACCTTAAAATAACGAGAGTATCTGCATTATCCAGATGGGCCCAAAGTAATCACAAGGGTTCTTAAAAGGGAAAGCGGGGGCAAAACAATCAAAACCAGAAAAACAGCACTGTGAGAAAGATTTGCCCAGTCACTGCTGGCTCTGAAGATGGAAGGAGACTAAAAGTGAAGGAATGCAGGCAGCCTCCAGAAGCTGGAAAAGACAAGAAAATTGACTTCCCCTAAGCCTTCAGGAAGAAGGGCAGCCCTGCTAACAGGACATCAGGTCCATTTTGGGCTTCTGACCTCCAGAATGTAAGATAAGAAATTTGTGTTGTTTTAAGCCACAAAGGTTTTTTTGGTGTTTATTTGTTTTGTTTTGTTTTGTTTTTTTGAGACAGAGTCTCACACTGTTGCCCAGGCTGGAGGGCATGGAGTGCAGTGGCGTGATCTCAGCTCACTGCAACCTCCTTCTCCTGGGTTCAAGCAATTCTACTGTCTCAGCCTCCTGAGTAGCTGGGATGACAGATGCACGCCACCACGCCCGGCTAATTTTTGTATTTTTAGTAGAGATGGGGTTTCACCATGTTCATCAGGCTGGTCTCCATCTCCTGACCTCGTGATCCGCCTGCCTTGGCCTCCCAAAGTGCTGGGATTACAGGTGTTAGCCACTGCATCCGGCCAGATTTTTTGTTTTTTTGTTTGTTTCATTTTGTATTACAGCAACAATACAAAACTAATACACAGGTAAAATGAACTGCCTTCATAAGCTTTGTGTAGATTAACCAAGATAACGTATATAAAGTACCTGAGTGCCTAGTATATAGGAAGCATTTAAATAGCTATTAAGAGTGTTAGTTCTTTAATAGTAGAACACTCTTAACAGCACTGAAACCAAATAGTCAACAGAAAGAACACTGAGTTCTAGAATTTACTCAAAGCTGCGACATAAGACATCTTGGCCTCTCTATGACAGCTCTCTCACACAGCAAAATGAGGGGGGACTAGATGACTTTTGAAGTTTCTGCCAGCTCTAAAATTTAACGATTCTAAAATCTAATTCCTTAATGATACATTCTACTTATTGCTAATTAACTGATTGAGAAAATCCTATTAAATATAAACAGTAGACCAAGCAGTTTTCATTTTATGTTTCAACATTTTCAATATTTTATATTGCTGAGTTACAGCCTTATAAAGTTGAGTCATGGCATAAAAACCTCAGGCCTGCAAGCAAGGAAAAATATCTAAGTCATCCTGCTATTACTTAATGGTCTTACAGTCAAACTGAAATAATAATAATAATATCTTTTCAAATAGCTCAAAGTATATTCCCACATATTACCTCACTTATTCTATTTTAACAGCTTTATTGAGGTATAATTCACATACCATGCAATTTACCCTTTTGAAATATACAATTCCATGGTTTAAGTATATTCAGAGTTGTGCCAACATCACCACCATTTTAGAACGTTTTTATCATCCCAAAATGAAACTCCCTATCCATTAGTAGTCCTTCCCCATCTCTCTCCTCTAACCCTCTCAGCTCATGAATCTACTTTCTGTCCCTATGGATTGGTCTACCCTGCACATTTCATATAAATTGAATCATACAACATACAGCCTTTTATGTCTGTTCCTTTCACTTAGCATGTTTTGTTATGTGACAGCATGTATCAGTACTTTATTCCTTTATGCTTTTAATGCTAAATAATATTCCATTGTATGGATGTACCACATTTTATTTATATATTCATCAGCTGATAGATATTTAGGTTGTTTCTACTGTTTAGCTATTAGGAATAATGTTACTAGCATTTGTGTATAAGTTTTTGTGTGTACGTATGTTTTCATTTATCTTGCACAGATACCTAGGAGTGAAACTGCTAGGTAACACAGGGTAACTCTATGTTTTAACCTTTTGAAGAACTGTCAAGCTATTTCTAAAGTGGCTGCCCATTTTAAATTCCTACCAGCAATGTATGGAGCTTCCAATCACTCCACATGCTCACCAACACTTGTTATCTTTAGATTACAGCTAACTAGCGGGCATGAAGTAGCATCTTATGTGGTTTTGATTTGCTTCTCTCTCTGAGTGACAACGTTGAGCATCTTTTCATGTGCTTATCAGTCATTCATAAATCTTCTCTAGAGAAATGTCTATTTAGATCCGTTGACCATTTTAATGGGGTATTTTTGTCTTTTTAATATTGAGCTGCAAAGGTTCTTTACAAATGTGGATATAAGTCCATTATCAGATATACAATTTGCAAGTATTTTCTCTTACCCTGTATACCTCATCTAATCTTAGTGCAGCTACTTGCGTTGTGCAGCTACTAGATTGTGTGTTGCTACTAGTGCAGCTACTAGATTGTGTGTTGCTATCCCCATTTTGCAGACAGAATTGGCATATGATTAAACAGACCTGATAACTGGCACTCAAAAGAAAACGTATAGCTGTGCCTCTGCTTCTATTAATTTAAAAGAGTATATTGATAGCAACATTGTGACAACACATCCAGGAAGGCTGCCTTGTTCAACTCAATGGATGCAGGGAAGCTATCCTGTATCTATTATACAACCTAACAATATTTTCCACAGTTACACCAAGGATAGTTCATTCCTTCACTCAAAAAATACTGAGTATTACATGTGAGGTGCCACACTACTCCTATTTCACAAGCATCCATGAACATGATCAAATCTTCGCCCTCATTAGTCTTATAATTTGGCAGTGTCATGCAAAACTCTTAACCTTAAATTCCTTAGTTGCAAACAGTCCTGACAAAGAAGTGTTTTATCTTAAAGATCCACTCTCAACTCAGAGGAAGCATTACAGAGCTTAACACAATTGATACTCTTTTTTAAAAAAATGAAAAGCATCAAACTTACTTTGTGTCCTAGGACAACCTTGTTTTTGAGTATTGCTCCAATATCTAGGCCATCACCTGGTTCTTATCTTTTTTTTTTTTTTTTTTTTTGAGATGGAGTCTTGCACTGTCACCCAGCAGCCTGGAGTGCAGTGGCTCAATCTAGGCTCACCGCAACCTCCACCTCCCGGGTTCAAGCGATTCTCCTGCCTCAGCCTCCCGGGTAGCTGGGATCACAGGCACATGCCATGACACTCGGCTGATTTTTGTATTTTTAGTAGAGACAGGGTTTCACCACATTGGCCAGGCTGGTCTCAAACTCCTGACCTCGTGATCCACCTGCCTTGGCCTCCTAAAGTGCTGACATTACAGAAATGAGCCACTGCACCCGGCCTTATCAATCCTTTTTATAATGCAACAATGCTTACTTTAATGACATTTGTTAAAATTAAACATGGCTAAAAGAAGAAAATACTTATGTTTACCTTTAACCAGAAAAGCCTGATGATTCAGAGACTAACTCATGGCCAGTTCCTATTCCATCCTGAATAAAAACGTTACAATAGCTCCATTAAACAAAACGAAAATATAGAGTTACAAATCTGACAACTTAAACAGGTAGTTCTAACCTTTTCCATCAAAGCAGTCCTAATTCAGAGCTGAGGGATCTAATCATCCCCAGAAGACTAAAGGCATCACCATAAGTGTCCCAGGCAAACTTTAAATGTCTTGATCTTATTTTTTTTCCTTAAAAACTGTACACAAATATTACATTCTAAACTCTAATACATCTATTTCCTCTTGGCGTAAAACATTTAATATGTTTAATTAGGGTCAACAACAAAGTTGTTGGCTAGACACAATGGCTCATGCCTGTGTTTCTAACACTTTGGGAGACTGAGAAGGGAGGACAGCTGGAGGCCAGGAGTTTTAGATCAGCCTGGGCAACATAGCAAGACCCTGTCTCTAGAAAAAAAAATTAAAAATTAGCCAGACACGGTAGTACACATCTGTAGTTCTAGGTACTTACTTGCATGGCTGAGGTAGGAGGATCACTTGTGCCCAGGAGTTCAAGGCTGCAGTGAGCTATTATTGCACCACTGCACTCCAGCCTGGGTAACAAAATGAGATCCTGTTTTTTAAAAAAAAAAAAAAAAAGATTTTGTTGAGAAGGATAGACAGAACTTATGGTGTGTAATTAGAACTATGTTAATTTTTACTATAAAAATGTAGTAGATTAAATAATAGCCAGTGAGGAAAACTAACACTCAGGAAGATGCAGCATGCATGCCTCATGGTTCTGAGTGCCTTCTGCACACCACTTCGTATTGCACGTACCACTGTCAGGCAAGCCAGGTCCCTGAGGATTAAGAAGGCACAGGCTGAGCAGGGAGAGCATGGCCTGGGGTGATCCCAGGGATGAGCTGCTGCAAAAGAGCAACAGTTCAACCTGGGGCTTTCCCACACTGTGAGCTGGCAGGCTAAAGGTTCTCAGAAGGCATCTCAAAGTTGCTTTGGAGGTCAGAGGACAACTGCAAGTGGGCAGAGCACTGCACTCCTGACCCCCCTTTCACTCAGTTTCCCCTGGCTGACACACGGGGCTTCCATCAAAGTTTTCTGCAGACTGAAGTATGAAGTCAGACTGTGAATAAAAGGTCTGAAAACCTAGATCTAGAGGAAGTCTTGGCCAGGAAGACAACCATGTACATCAGATATGAAAGACAAGGTAAGGACAAAATGGGAGAATGAATAATGGAGCTGGAGAGGAAGAGAGTCAAAAACAGGAAAGGGTGTGGTATAAGCCAAGGGTCAGGGTCAGGCGTTCATCCACAGAAAAGAATGTCTATTGTGGAGTGGGTGTGTCTGCTTAAAGGAATAGCAACAAGATTCTCATCCAGAAGCACTCAACTGCTGAAATCTCAAATTCCCATATGTTACATGTGGACCACCATCTCTTGTCCTTCTACCCCTCTGGATTACTTAATTGCCCACGGCCAATCAACTCTCCAAAAAGCAGTCAGTGTGAGCCTTCAGAAAAGTACTTCTCTGACTCAAACCTTTCAATGGCTTTTCATGACCCTTGAATAGAATCCTAGGTGCTTACGGTGGCCCTAATGTATCATGGCCCTAATTTATTACCACTGTCCTCCTCCTCACTCATGCTCCCCAGTGCCATGGCTGTTCCTCATACAAGCCTCTGCCAGGGCTTTGCACATATATGTGCTATTTCCTTGTCCTGGAATGCTCTCAGATATCTGCATTGCTGTGTCCCTGATGACATTCATGTCTTTGCTCAGAGGTCACTTCTCAGAGCCTCTTCCCTGATTTCATTTTCTTTTCGACATTATCTTACCATCTGAAATTATACATACAAGTGTATATATATATATGTTTATACACATAATATATGTTAATCATCTACCTCCCCATTGGAATTAAGCTCTACAAGGGCAGATTTTGTTTTGATCACTGTT